GATGGGATGCTCCCGCCCTTTCTTGGGAACGGCTGGGAATTCGGCCGCCAAAACAAGCCGGGGTTTGGTTTCGCTCACCATGGCACCCCCGGGGAGCAGCTCTGTAAAAATAAAACCGGTTTTGAGGTGCTAGTCCCGACGTGCGTTTGCAGCCTGGCCAGGGAAATAGCTCACCTCCTTCTGCCTGTGAGAAAGAGGGACAAACAGAAACGCCAATTCACCTCGAGGGGAAATCTCTGGCTCGCACACACTGGGTCCAGCCGGGCGCCCCTTGGTGCGGAGCATCCCTGCTGCCAGCAGCAGGGGGGACATCATGCGAAGGGAAAATTCACTCTGAAATTATGGCTGCAAGAAGAAAAGCCTTAAAACGAGTTCTGGGGACTCCCTCACTGCCCGGCAGCCCTCGCGTGCTGCACCAGCAGTGGCTCCCACGGCTGCTGCTATTTAGCACCTCGCTCAGTGGCACCTTACAGATGTCCCCCAGGCCAGAGCCACCCACCCAGAGCACGCGGCTCTCGGCAGCCTCCCGCCTTCGCCCCCCCATCAGAGCAGGGAGCTGTGACCAGCAATGCACATGTGCCTGCAGCCTTTGGCTTTTTGGCTACTGAAGTGCTGCTCAGGTTTTCCTTTGGGACTTTGTTATGATTTTATGGCTTGTTAGAACGTAATCACAGCAGTCTATCAGCCTCCCTCCCCTGCTGAAGGATTTTAGAGGGTATTCCTTCTCAACAGTCGTGTGGGGATGCATATTAAAGACAAGCACCCGGAGACATCCCTGCAGGCTGCTTGCATAGCATTCAGTCACCTAAGTGGCCTAATGCAGATGTCATCTCCTTGGATTGATCCAGATTTCTTGATCCAAAAAATTGCATCCCAAGCCCTCCCATCCTCCTCTCAGTTTGGACACAAGCTCTTCATCATCACTTTTACTCCCACTCTACATCTTCCTTACTCCAGACTTAAAGCGCTCTGCCTCCTACATGTTCCCACCCAGAGCACGCGGCTCTGGGCAGCCTCCCGCCTTCGCCCCCCCATCAGAGCAGGGAGCTGTGACCAGCAATGCACATGTGCCTGCAGCCTTTGGCTTTTTGGCTACTGAAGTGCCGCTCAGGTTTTCCTTTGGGACTTTGTTATGATTTTATGGCTTGTTAGAACGTAATCACAGCAGTCTATCAGCCTCCCTCCCCTGCTGAAGGATTTTAGAGGGTATTCCTTCTCAACAGTCGTGTGGGGATGCATATTAAAGACAAGCACCCGGAGACATCCCTGCAGGCTGCTTGCATAGCATTCAGTCACCTAAGTGGCCTAATGCAGATGTCATCTCCTTGGATTGATCCAGATTTCTTGATCCAAAAAATTGCATCCCAAGCCCTCCCATCCTCCTCTCAGTTTGGACACAAGCTCTTCATCATCACTTTTACTCCCACTCTACATCTTCCTTACTCCAGACTTAAAGCGCTCTGCCTCCTACATGTTCCCAAACACACAGGTTACACCTACCAGCAGCCTGCTGATCCTCCAAAAACTGTAGTGCCGCAGCAGATCCTGATGCCCAGCTTCCCGCCTGTGGGCTCCCTGTGCCCCAGCACTTACACTGGCAACCAGCTGCAGCATGGATGTGGGAATCCCAGTCACGGCACCAGATGCTGTCGTGGAAATAATCCAAATTGTAGTTCAGATCAGGTCAGAGCAGAAGTAGTTTATTGCTACGGCTATAGGAGAGGACAGGGAGCAGCCGAGCGACAGCCTCTGCTGATGTGGACTATTAAAAAAAGGGAAATCACATATTAAAGTGCTTCAACTTTCCTTTTCCAGTATTAGCCGTATCTTTAGATATAGCAGCATTTTAATGATGCTGTCAGTAGCTCAGTGACTTCACTAAAGCAATCCATTGCTCTCCAAATACATCGAGAATAGACAAATAACTGAAAAATACGTGCGCAAGAAAAAGTTGGAGCAAGCCAATCTAAAATTTGGAGCAAACCAATCCTGTCATATAGCTGCAATCCTCCCCGCTTTGCTGGGGTGGGCCACTGAGTGGGCACATGAGCAAGGGCAGGAATATCTGTTGTTCTTCTTGTCTCTCAGCACCACGTTGCCCGCAGTTTGCAGGGAGCTGAGTAAATTACTCTGGCCAGGTTCACTGTGGGTCCTTCCAGCCTCCTGAGTAGTTGTAGTGTGAAGTGATGAAGTGAGCTATAGCCTGAAACAGGGGTGGGAGAGACATTTTTCAAGCAATAGGAGAGTCTCCCCACCTCTCCTGCACTATCTTCTCAGGAACATCTCCTAGGGAGAAATCCCTGGGTGCGTTGCAGGAGCCGGAGCCACTCCACCTCCCCAGCATCTGTACGGGGCTGGGGGGGGTGTCTCAGTTTCCCCAGCCTTCCCCACGTTCTTTATCCTTAAATATTTCAGTCAGTGGTGATTGAGTAGTTCATTTAGAGTGTATTCAGTATGAACGGAAACATTTACAGCAAAGTTCCTGCTGCCCCGGTGAATGAGCCTGACCTCTGGCCCTCCGGTGGAAGGAGGGTCTGAATGTTATCTCAGCCCCTTCCCCTGCATGGAGCCCCCTTCACCACTGAGTGCTGCTGCCTCTAGTGCCTAACTTCAGGGGAGGGGGATGGAACGCCATGTTGGATGGCATTGAAACTGTCACCTGGCCTGTCCCCTGTGCCCAAAATGTTGTTTTTCTTAAAGCCAGAATCTTTAAATGATTCCCAGAAGTGTTCCAGCTCCTCAGGGAAGGAGAAAGTAAAAACCCATATATCCCATTGGATCAGGGAGTTATCCAAGCATGCATGGACCTCTTGTGCCACTGACAATCATACTGGCTGGCCCTGGATTGTCCTGCCCAGCCACCCCTTGTGCACAAGCAGAATGGTATGCATTTGTCTAATGACAGGAGCCACAGGAGGTTCACATTTCCACTGGGTAC